TTTACTTTCTTCACAGACATAATCTCTAACGGAGATAACCAGTGCGGAACTCTTGGTTCTAATAGGTTTTTATACCTATCCCATACTTCTATTAATGAACCTTGGAATATGTGGCTCCCAAGCCCTTTATGTATTTTCTTCTTCTCACACCATAAATATGCGTGCCATCCAAATCTATTATCAAAACCTTCAAGGTCTAATAATTCCTAACTTTCTAATTTTATCCATTCTTTCAACCAACAGAGACAGGCTGCTTCATAGTACAGTTTCAAATCTGGCAGGGCGAAGCCTCCTCTTTCCTTCACATCTGTTAATAACTTAAATTTAATTCTCGGCTTCTTGCCCTGCCACATATACCTTGATATCACTCTTTGCCACTCTGTAAAGATTGATACCCCCTTTATTATGGGGATAGTCTGAAACAAGAATAACATCTTAGGAAGGATGCTCATCTTTATAGAATAAATTCTACCCCAAAAGGATAGTTTCAGTCTGCCCCATACTTCCAGGTCTTTCCTTATTTCATTCCACACCGGAATATAATTGTTTTGAAATAAGTCAATGTTTTTGGGAGTTAGCCAGATTCCCAAATATTTTACCTTTTTCACCACATCTATCTCTGTTTTTTGCTGCATTATTTCTATCATATTTTGGTCCATATTTTTTGCTATTATTTTTGCAGGCTGAAGTCTGAAGGATGAGATATCATTTCCTCCACTTCCATATACAAAAGCCAAAAACTGGCCAATGAATCTTTGCTTAAAGCACACACACACACACACACACACACACACACACAATGTTTTTTCTGTTCCCAATGCTATTTTTCACTTCATTGGGCCTCTCTTACCCTCCCCCTCTTCCAAATAGTTCAGTTGCTTTAGATCGCTTGGGGATCAAACTATTAACATTTAGAAAAACTGCTAAGCTCCTCTGAGCCCATGAGATAAAACAAACAAATTAATCAATAAAAGGAAGCCTAAAGCAGTGAAGAATAACATGCAGAGCAACTGCAACCTCAAAAACAAAAGATGCAATACAAAAATATTTTTAAAAATGCTACCATAACCTATGAGTCAAATTTCAGTTAAATACCGAAAAGGTAGGAATGTTAACAATTCAGTTAATAAACCTCATACAAAATTCATGAACATTAAATAAACAGATTCCTGCAGAATAAACTTTTCAGTAAGCTAGCAGCCCACAGCAGGCCAGGCTTTTGCAGAATCCTCTCAACATGGCACCCATTTTGCCATTAACTATAGCAGCGGTGCAGGATCCTGATGGGCCACTTTTATTATTTGTGTAATGATGGCACCACTGTGTGTGTGCAAATGAGCATATATCACTTTCTTGAATAGCAAACTTTGACGGTAAGCACCGTCAGCACCAACAGGGCCACTGGAAAACAAGAGGGGGGATGGACGGACGTATCAGCATGTTTTTTGGGGGGGAACAATGTGAAGATTTGCAGTAGTACCCCCCGAAAAGCAGAAACAAAACAAAAACAAACCCTGAAGTGCTGTGTCTTCTCCTGTAAAAGCAACCCAGTGATGACTGGGCCTGCTCAGTTGCCAAGGAATGCTGAGTCTCAGGTGAGTAAAAAGGAAGCAGGTGAGAGCCGTGATGAAGGGATGACGGAATGGTATATTCTGGAGGAGAGCATGGCTGGGCTGGAACATGCTCAGTTGTCATGGAATGTTGTCAGTTGAAAAGAATCCTAGAGTTGGAAGGGGTCCCGAGGGTCATCTAGTCCAGCCCCCTGCAACGCAAGAATCCTTCCCATGTCACGGCTAAAAATTGGCTGCTGTTTCTTTAGTCAGTTTCTTGAGTCAGCGGCCCAGAATGACTCATGCAACCTTTCACCAAATTGTACCTGTATATATAGAGTGGTCAGTGTTAGTGTGTGGTGTGAGTTGGTTGGATGGTAGCAATCTGGTTGCGTTTGGTGTGTGTAAAAGCTGTGGGTCGTGGTTGGAGAAGAAGACTTTTTAAGAATAAAAGCAGCAATGTTTACACTGACAGCCCAGGTGGTTATGAAGGAGCGGTGATGTATTCTGGGGGCGGAGTATTCTGAGAGAGGGCATGGGTGCCTGACTGGCTGGAAGCCTGAACAAGAATGTTCCTGTTTTCTTTGGGAGAAAATATCGCAGAAGACAGATGCCTGAATGGTTTGATCTGAGTGCCAGGCATAGTAGAAATCATTCACTAATGTAAAACACACACATATATACACTAAAAACAAGAGGAATCCTGACAAAATCCTCAAAATTCTCCAAAGAGATGCTGATTTAAGTCCACTTCCAGCGTGGCTGAGCATAATGATTTCTTAGTTCGAGAGGAAATGTTCTTAAGGGGTTGTGGGGTTGTTATTGGAGCTGTCCCCAGAATACCTTGTAAGCTGGTTAAACCTGATGCTAAACGAAAGTCTGTTGTTATTGGGGGGGGGGGGGTGCACAGAGAGAGGGAAGGAGAAAAAAACACAGAGTTGCCGTCTAGCAGGAAACGTGTATTTTTCCAAGTGGGTATCATTGGGTAGAGGCTCTTCCTTTACTACAGAGTGCTATTGTGCTCACTTGCTGCGTTCAAGGTTTCCCATTGGGCCATCTAGCTACTGGGAGAAGAGGATGATGGGTTTGAGAAGTCACCATGGGCCTGATCCAGTAGGACTTTGATGTTCTTAAACTCACTGCTAGTAGGCAAGGATCATCGCAACAGAAGCTTCTGCCCCTTGGGGCTGGGATTCACCATATCTGGGGTGGGGGTGGGATGCTTCAAAAGCCCGTATCGTGAAAAAAAACTTTTAATAAAAATCTCAGCACAAAAGACCATTTCTAGGACAATAGTCATATCAGGGCACTTCCAACCCAGACAGGGCTTAATGTTACAAACAGGTCATTCAGAAGATGCACTTGGGTTGCTGGAAATAAGGCAAATCAGGATTTAATCTAGTGAAGCATTACAGGCTGCTAGGTTTGTGAGCTTGGACCAGTCACGCTACAAAGTCACCATTTGGTCTGGCATCTTGATTCAAATAGACTCTCACCTTAGGAAACATCTGGTGGACAATATCTCTAGAGGCGGCCAAAGATGCGTCTCTTTACTCTGCCTTTTGGCACATGAGGTGTATATTTATATTTTATTTTATTTTTTAAAATAATATTTATTACTTTTCCAACAATTTAAACACTACAAAAAAAGAAAAAAGAACAATACAAAACAATACAAAAACACTACATAACACATTAAACTAACAAAACAGAACAGAACAAAAACAGTTTAAAACACATCAAACAATTTCAATATCTTATCTTTCATTCACTTATTTCCATGACCTCCTCACACCTCCCTTTTTGTATTCCACTTCTGTTAATTGTTTCAGCAATTCCTTTCCATCTCCCTCTGCTTTCTATCCCTTAATTATCTTAACAGATTCTAACCTTATTTTTCCCTTTAATACTCTATTAATCTATTTATACTTAATTCCTTATAGCATTTCTACTAAAGCCATATAACTTCATTCCAACTTTTTTCTAACATTCATTATTTTTACAGTATTTCTGTAAATAGTCTTTAAACTTTTTCCAGTCTTCTTCCATCGACTCTTCTCCCTGGTCTCGGATTCTGCCAGTCATTTCTGCCAATTCCATATAGTCCATCAACTTCATCTGCCATTCTTCCCGGGTGGGTAAATCTTGTGTCTTCCAATACTTCGCGATGAGTATTCTTGCTGCTGTTGTTGCATACATAAAAAAAGTTCTATCTTTCTTTGACACCAATTGGCCAACCATGCCCAGGAGAAAGGCCTCTGGTTTCTTCAGAAAGGTATATTTTGAGGTGTATATTTTTAGGGCTTACTGTATATTTGTGATTGCAAGTTGCTTTAAACTATTTTAAATATTGTGTATTTAATGTTGTCGACTGCCTTGAGAACTTAGCTTGAAGGAGGGGATAATTATTATTAAATAAATAAATAAATAAATAAATAAATATACTCATTTAATATATATAATAAATATATAAAAATATATATATTTAAATATATATATACCATATAGGGACGCGGGTGGTGCTGTCGGTTAAACCACAGAGCCTAGGACTTGCCGATCAGAAGGTCGGCGGTTCGAATCCCTGTGACGGGGTGAGCTCCCGTTGCTCGGTCCCTGCTCCTGCCCACCTAACAGTTCGAAAGCACGTCAAAGTGCAAGTAGATAAATAGGTACTGCTCCGGCGGGAAGGTAAACGGCATTTCCGTGCGCTGCTCTGGTTCGCCAGAAGCGGCTTAGTCATGCTGGCCACATGACCTGGAAGCTGTACGCTGGCTCCCTCGGCCAATAAAGCGAAATGAGCACCGCAACCCCAGAGTCGGCCACAACTGGACCTAATGGTCAGGGGTCCCTTTACCTTTTTATATACTATACATTTGCAAATAATCCCAAACATTACAAAACACCTGAAGTCTCCCTTGACCCCTGCCTGTAAACTAAACCTGGGTAAACTTTGCACCTCTGGAATTTCCAGACTGCTTGGAGGAGTTTGAGTGTGTGTGTGTGTGTGTACGCATGCATAACAGTAATGACACCCCTTACTTGAGTACGTTCACTTTTCTTTCTTGGACTAAACAAAGTTGCTTTTAACCATTGGCTGCAATAGCAAGCATGGGTGGCTTCTCACCTATAACTTCACAAAGGTGTTTCAAACCCTTGTTGTTGACCCCCTCTGTTTACGTTGCAGTTGGGCATCTTGGATTAAGCAGGCAACTTTCGGGTGCCTATTAAGGCCACGGCTCCTTCCGACAGCTTGAGAAGGCTGGGTGGAGAATTAGTTTTCACTAAAGGCAACTTGAGAGCCAAATAGGCAGATTACTCACCTGGAGGGGCAAAGCGGTGGACTGCAGCTTTGCTGGAAGACTGAAAGAAGCCTGCAGTGAGCTGCCGTTCCTGCAAGAAGGCCAGGCTGCTTAGCTAAACCTTTTGGCTGCAGTTGGTGGCTCAAGTCCAGTGAGACTTAGTATTCCATATAAAGGATGGTAGCTAGAAAACAAAGTGCCCCCCCTTTCAATATAAAGTTGCAATCCTACACACACACACACACACACACACACACACACACACCTTGGAGCAAGTACCATTGAAGGTGGTGGAATTTTGAGAAGTGATGCATGTAATAAGACAGCAAATTTCCCTTTTCACCTCTGCTAGGAAATCCTTATTGCGTCTGCCCCCTCCCTCTGTTCTCCATCCCCCTTAAGATGTGAATGCTTCAGGGAAGCCTTTGAGATGCTTTTGCCACAGCCCTGAACTCATTTGCCTGAAGATAGTTGCCATGATTTCAGGACAGTTTACCGTCAGATGAATGAGTTTAGATTATTGTTTATTGATATATTTGATTTATGCCCCACCTTTTATCCAAGTGGCATACTTTGTTTTCCTCCTCCCCATTTTATCCTCTCAACAACCCTGTGAGTTGAGAGTTGTCCCAGTAAGCTTCACAACTAAGTTCAGTCTCTGTTTCTTTTGGAGGAGAGAGTGCTGTTGTTAATATTAATAATATTACAGACCCTCCAAGTGTCCCTATTTTCCAGGGACAGTCCTGGCTTTACAGAAAACATCCTGGTTTCTGATTTGATCCTGGAATGTCCTGTTTTTCCTTAGTACATCCCTGTTACCATCAGAGAAATGTTGGAGGGTATGTTATTATTACTAGTTATCCAAGTGATAAGCTGCCTTTCCTGCTGGTACCCAGGACAGCAAACATATCTAGTTATCTCCCACGTGGCCTGCTGCAATGCGCTCTACATGGGGCTACCTTTGAAGTTCACCCGGAAACTACAACTAATCCAGAATGTGGCAGCTAGACTGGTGACTGGGAGTGGCCGCCGAGACCATATAGCAACGGTCCTGAAAAACCTACATTGGCTCCCAGTACGTTTCCGAGCACAATTCAAAGTGTTGGTGCTGACCTTTAAAGCCCTAAACAGCCTTGGTCCAGTATACCTGAAGGAGCATCTCCACCCCCATCGTTCAGTCCAGACACTGAGGTCCAGCTCCAAGGGCCTTCTGGTGGTTCCCTCACTGCGAGAAAGTGAGGTTACAAGGAACCAGGCAGAGGGCTTTCTCAGTAGTGGCGCCTGTCCTGTGGAATGCCCTCCCATCAGTCAAGGAAATAAACAACTATCTGACTTTTAGAAGACATCTGAAGGCAGCCTTGTTTAGAGAAGTTTATAATGTTTGGTGTTTTATCATGTTTTTAATATACTGTTGGGAGCCACCCAGAGTGGCTGGGGAATCCCAGCCAGATGGGCGGGGGTATAAATTTATTATTATTATTAATAATAATAATAATAATAATTAATAATAATAATAAAAACAGTTAAAAAATAAAAACCCAACCAGTTAAAAATATCTCAACCACTGATCGCAGGGTCATTAGTAACAGGGCCAGTGCAGAGCTTTCAGGGCATACGGTGCCATGGGGCTGCCCCACTTAACCGGCCTAGCAGCTGCATTCCACATGAGCTGCAGCCTCCAAACCATCTTCAAGGGCAGACCCCACAGGTACTGGGTATTTTGTTATCTTTACACTAACTAGTTTGGTTACTGATGTACAGACTGAACAGATATGTCAGATATGCAGATATGTGCCAGGACATACAAGGGCCTTTGCCTAAGCGAAAGTTCTCTTCCAGCAACGTCCTCCATTTGAAAGGGGAGCCATCCCTTCCACGGATATCTCTTGGGCCAATGGGAACTGTATGTTATGCTGCATCTATGTCAGTCACCCTTCCCCAACCCTCCAGATAGCGATGGGGGCAAAATTCTATTCAGTTCTCATTTAAAGGCAAACTTGTGCTTTCCAAAACAGTAACATCAACTGAATTGCAGCCTCCTTCAGAATTCACACTTCTCCAAATTTTGCGACGTGCTTCTCCAGCAAAGTAATGTGCATAAAAATGCATATGCTTGGGTGAAGCATGCATAAAAATGCATATATTGGTGAAAACAACGCACAGAATTGTACAGTCATACCTCAGGTTACAGATGCTTCAGGTTGCGTTTTTTCGGGTTACGGACCCACCAAAACCCGGAAGTACCGGAACGGGTTACTTCTAGGTTTTGGGGGTTGCGCATGCTCAGAAGCGCTAAATTGTGCTTTGCGCATGTGCAGAAGCATCGAATCGCAACCCGCCGTGCGCAGATGCACCTCTGCGGGTTGCGAACGCTGCGGGTTGCGAACATGCATTATATTATATTATATCAGGGAATATCACTTCGTAGAAATGTGAATATTAGGCAGAATTGCAAACAAACCTGTATTTGAACAAAAGTGCTGGAGAATTTTTCACGAGAACTTATTACACACACACACACACACACACACACATTCTTGCAAGCTGATGTGGAACTGTGTTTAAGACTGGAAGGATGAAAATTTAAGAGAAACTGAAATTAGTAGATGAACCCTCTGTACTGCAACATATTGTGACGTTAACATATATGAAAGAGTGCTGGAGGGGAAATAGTTAAATAGGTTGCACAGACAGGACCCAGGGGGGTGGAGTCAGTGGGTCTATAAAACTAGTTCTGAGGGGAGTTCGTTGGGAATTGTTGGTGGGCAGTTGGTTGGTTTTAGTGGGTTGGCTGGTTGGGAAAGGCAGTTGGAGAAGCAGTTGGAAATAGAGAGACAGTTAGGGCAGTGGGTTCTTGAGTGTGGGGAGGTAGAAGAGATAGAGAGAGGAAAATAAGACTACGAAAGTAAAGAGCAACAACGTTTGGAAAGCTGTAAAAGTTTTGTTTATGTCTGAAATAAAATACACTCTTCTTTATTAATTGAAAAGCTGATTGAGGCTGAAGTGATTTTACCAGGGAGGACCTGGTTGGTGGCAGAGGATTAGTGGTGTACGGGTCAGTAGTCGGTGAGATGACCGGGGGCTCCGTACGAACCCCACACATGTTTTGGACCACATTTCCCCTCCCAGACATGGACAGTGTGGGATGATGGGAGTTGTAGCTTGCAACATCTGCAGGGTCCTACTTTGGGGGAGGCTGAACTAATTGAGAGGCTGCCACATAAGAAGCTGAGCCAGCTGCCACAACTGAAGATGGCATGGATCTGTAAATGTCTCAGTTTCCCCCTTCCACTGCTGCCACCTCCTCCTCCATCCTGTGTTCCATTACAGCCTCTGAATCCATCACTTGGATTTGGCAGGTTGATTTGCAACTCGGTGGAGAGTGCAGTGGCAGATATATTTTGATGAGAAAGACACAGCAGCTTGAGCTATACAAAATATTAGAATATCTCCGAAACCCCCTCAATCAACTTGTGTGTTCTTAATGGGTTTTGCCGCATCTGCTGTTCCGTGGACCGTGAACTCTCAATTTCTCACTGCGAGGAGGTTACCTTATGCCTGGTGCTTTAATAAATGGTGTGGCTCTGGTAAGCAGAGGTGCCCATAAGGCCTTTTGACTGAAATCAGCTATTAGGAGGGAGACTCAATACATTTTGGCACCTGAGGCGAACCACAAAATGGCATCCTGCACCACACTGGGGGAAAGGGGTGAGTGAAGATCTACATCAAGAACTAGAGGGGAATAAACATCTACATTGGGATCTGCTGCCCCATGGATCCTGTTGCCCAGGGCAATGGCTTCCTCTTGACTCTTGGGTGGGCTGGCTGTGTTTACTACTACAGTTGTATTAATGTTTGATAATGCTGAACAAGTATAGTTTAATGAATAGAGGAACTCTTTGCTTCAACATCACTTCATTTACTAGTGCAAAGTGCCCCGCATTGCTTGGGAATTCCAGACCCTCCAAGTGCCCCTGTTTTTCAGGGTCTTCCCTGATTTAAAGAAAACATCCCGGTTTCTGATTTGATCCTGGAATGTTCCACTGTTCCTTAGAACATCCCTATTTTCACCAGAGAAATATTGAAATGTATGATAGTATGTCTCTATTTTCGTAGGAGAAAAGTTGGAGGGTGTGGTAGAATGTCCCTATTTTCAATTGAGAAATTTTGGAATGTATGGAGTTATCTGACCCCCTGAAGGCAATCCTGTATAGGGAAAGTTTTTTTATAAAATGTTCAATGTTTTATTATATTTTTATATGTGTTGGAAGCTGCCCAGAGTGGTTGGGACAAACCAGTAAGATGTGTGGGGTTTGTTGTTATTTAGTTGTTTAGTTGTGTCCGACTCTTCGTGACCCCATGGACCAGAGCACGCCAGGCACTCCTGTCCTCCATTGCCTCCCACAGTTTGGTCAAACTCATGTTGGTAGCTTCGAGAACACTGTCCAACCATCTCGTCCTCTGTCGTCCCCTTCCCCTTGTGCCCTCAATCTTTCCCAGCATCAGGGTCTTTTCCAGGAAGTCTTCTATTCTCATGAGGTGGCCAAAGTATTGGAGCCTCAGCTTCAGGATCTGTCCTTCCAGTGAGCACTCAGGGTTGATCTCCTTCAGAATGGATAGGTTTGATCTTTTTGCAGTCCATGGGACTCTCAAGAGTCTCCTCCAGCACCATAATTCAAAAGCATCAATTCTTTGGCGATCAGCTTTCTTTATGGTCCAGCTCTCACTTCCATACATCACTACTGGGAAAACCATGGCTTTAACTATACGGACCTTTGTTGGCAAGGTGATGTCTTTGCTTTTTAAGATGCTGTCTAGGTTTGTCATTGCTTTTCTCCCAAGAAGCAAGCATCTTTTAATTTCGTGACTGCTGTCACCATCTGCAGTGATCATGGAGCCCAAGAAAGTAAAATCTGTAAAATGAAATCTGTAAAAAGAAAGTAAAATGTGTGGGGTATAAATAGTAAAATTATCATTATGGAATAGGACGTCTCTATTTTTATTGGAAAAATGTTGGAGGGTATAGAATTCTAAGGTGGGGTGGTGGTGGTTGGGTGGATCATGGTTAAACTTAGGGCAGCTTTGAAAGGCACCCAGTAGATTCCAAACATAGAGAAAAACCTGCTCCTTGATCCCAGAAATCATTGTGCAAATTTTGGTTATGATATCTTAAGAAGTGTCCACGTGCAAAGACAACAGACGGAGGCGAACAAGTTTACAAACTATATCATAGATATAGGCATATAATGATAATAACAACACAATATTTAAAAATGCAAAATGCAACAATTAAAACAGCAAAAATAAATGAAAAGCAATACACTATAACATAACTTCCCCTGTACATAATAACACAAGATTTCCCCTGATTGCATAAACTGGTAAAAAAATAAAATAACATAAAACGTGTGCTCTGCACATTAAAAAATGGCTACCGGTCCTACTGCAACATCAGTTTTTCCGATAGCCCTGGGAACATTTAATGCTGTATTCTTATACGAAACATCAGCCAAGGGACAAAGTTCAGTTTCTGTCACCCACTGACAAGGTCTGTGTGTGCCTCACGCACTCCTGTCATTTTATGTGGGTCAGAATGACAGAAACAGGGGAGTTGTGCCCTCTTTTCCTTTTTCTCAGGTTTAATGGGCGGATGGAGGAGATTAATAAATGTAGCAGAAGCACAATGTCAGGCAGATTGCCACCCACTGCGAGAGCTAAGCATGGCTGCCCTAGAGCTTTGCATTTGGGCAACACAGCAATAATAATTGTTATTTAAACAAACACGCACAGAATCCTTGCTTGCTTGCAACTACCCAAATTCAGAACTAAGAAAGAAAAAACCTAATCAAAGTTCTCAAGAGATGGGCGAAGGAGGTTGCGGAAAACAAGGTTTCTCTTCAGTCTTTAACTTTAAGATTTATATAATAAAGTTGTTTCCATTATTAATATGCCATCTTTTAAACAACCTTTGGGGAAAAGAATGTTCCCTAGACGGTCACAGATAACAAAATGTGTGTGTTTGTGTACTCATTATAGGCATCTGCATAAATTTAACAAATGATGCAAGAAGAAACCTTAAGAAACATTTCTTGGGAAATGTGAAAACTTTTAAAGAATGTTTGAAGCAAGAGAGTTAAACAAACATTCTGTTACTGAATGCTAATGAGGAGAAAATATTGCTAGGTTTTAGTTTAGCTTAATTTGTTCGGTTTATACATCACTTCTCACGACCAGAATGAGTGATTTACAAATCAGTTAGCTTCTCTTGAAAAGCAAATGTCTGCTTCAGAGGGAACCATTGAAGAAGGAGGGTTAAATTTCTCCTTTCCACACAGCATGGTGACAAATTTGTTCAGGTTTTTCCTGAGGCTGCCCTTTACAGAACAAAAAATGTTGCATCCACACAATTAAAAAGAGTTATCAAATCTTGCTTGACCCTCAGAGAGCATTTAAGCTTTTAATGAGACAAATACATGGAGGAAGGCTTTCGGCCTTAAGAGCTAAATTGAACCTCCAGCTACAGGAGCACTTAGGAGTATGGATTGCCTTGGTTGTGTGCTGCCAAAGGGTATCTTACTGGCAATGGGTGGAAATGGAATAGTAAACCAGTTCAGCCTTAAGTTTTTACATTCTCTCTTCTCCCTGTCTCCTGCCAGTGAGACTCCTGTTCCCTGACAGACAGAGATTCAATAGGAGAGTTTCCTTCATCACTGCATCTAGGGCTGTGCTCAGTGTTTACATGCAGAATTTTGGGAAGAAAAACATGTTTTGGGGAAGAAATGTGAACTGAATGAATCTTTATTTGCGTCAGCCATCAGCCATAGCAATAAAACAACAATACGATATACAAAGAATAGAAATAAAAAGTCAATTGTATAAAATACATTTTAGGGTTTTGAATCAGCAGTCAAATAGTGGATCTTATTCTGATTGCCCCAGCTAAAAATCTTGCAACCTTTGCTGTCACCTGCTCAAGGGGAAGGACTATGTTTGCCTCCTTTGTTGCTGTTCACTTCTTAGTAAGCAGCGGTTTAAAAAACAACCAAGCAAGATGGGGCTTAATATTGCTGGGAAAGGAACCCCAATTGGCTGGGTCATCACAGCCAGTGTGATGATGTCACAAAACCACAAAGCCGATTCAGAGTGAGGGCAAGGGTTTCTGTCTCTTGTTACTGTTGTCCTGAACATGTGCTGAGGATGATGGGGGTGGACTGTGAAGGGGCGCTTGAGGGAGGAGCGTGGCTGTTATAAGAATGTTAAGGTCTTATATACTGTATATAAAATAGATGTTCATAAATGTACCAAGCAGACACATACAAATATGTAAACCACATGTCTGAAACCCACAGAAAAGTCCTGAAACCATTTTCTCTCTCCCAAAATGACCTCAAATATTTCTCTGCAAGGTCAAAGGAAATGGGGAAAAACCTCCCCATTTTCTCTGTGCTCACAAATCCTGCCTTAAGGGCACATTGAAGGTGTGAATAGGGTGTGACCTGTGACCTGGATTTGGGAATTGTTGTTGTTGTTTAGTCGTTTAGTCGTGTCCGACTCTTCGTGACCCCATGGACCAGAGCACGCCAGGCACTCCTGTCTTCCACTGCCTCCCGCAGTTTGGTCAGACTCATGTTTGTGGCTTCGAGATTTGGGAATTAAGAAGTTACAATAACAAAAGAGTGGCCAAAACCCAGATAATGCAATCAGGTAACCTGCCAGACAGGAGATAACACACTCAGGATTCTGTTTTAGACCACACCCTGTGATGTATGTGTGATGTTTCTGGGGGTTGTCTGGAGTTTGAGGGTGCGCAATTTAAAAAGTCTATATAAGGGTGGGCACAGCTTTTGTTCTGGGTTCCTCCTCTTTCCTGCTTATGGTGAGTGAGGCTACCTTTTCAAAGAAAAATGAGCAATTCCTTGCTAGAGAGAAAGGGGGGGGGATGGGACTTGCTGTGCCCCTTCCTTTGCCTTCTCCTACCAAACCTGTCACACACACACACACACACACACACACACACACACATGCAACCTCAATAAAGCCAGGCAGTCCCCAATCAATAAAGTGCTCACTAGCCACTGGCCACCTGCCTCAGTGGGTGCTTGGAGCTCACAGTATCACTCACACTAAGCAGACCAAACTGCTATATTAGGCAAAAAAGAAAGGAACAAACCCTCTTGCACCCAGCAAGCTGGAACATTAGGACCATGTGTTCTGGCCTGCTGCAGGTCAACAACTCACAGAAGATGAACATCATTGACCATGAGCTGAAAACACTCAGCATTGACATTGCTGCTCTACAGGGGACAAGACTTGCTTCGAATGGCAGCCTCAGAGAGAACTACACCTTTTGTGGCAAGGAGGGCATCCAGAAGATTCACGGCGTAAGATTTGCAGCAAGGGACTCCCTTCTGTCTGTGATAGAACTGCCAGCTGAGGGCTCAGAATGCTTGCCTTCTCTCCATTTCTCAACTACCTCCATTCCAGTAAACATATTGAGTGTTTACGCACTGTGTGCTCTGATATACTGATCAAAAACAAGTTCTGCGAGGAACTAGACCAGGATGTCAGGAGCCTGCAAACACCTTCTCGGTAGTGGTGCCCTCCCAGAAGATGTCAAAGAAATAAACAACTATCTGACTTTTAGAAGACATCTGAAGGCAGACCTGTTTAGGGAAGTTTTTAATGTTTGAAGTTTTATTCTGTTTTTAGTGTTCCGCTGGGAGCTGCCCAGAGTGGCTGTGGAAACCCAACCAGATGGGCGGGGTATAAATAATAAAATTATTATTACTATTACTATTCCTGCTGGGAGAGTTCATCACAGCTGGGATAACCGCAGAGGCCCCCTTGGTATCGGGAGCCTGAACAAGAACGGACAAAGGCTACCTGAACTGTGCTCATACCACAGCCTCTGCGTCACGAACATGGTATGGTCTACCAAGGCAAAACACTGTGTCCTGGAGACATCTTGGATGTCAGGTCACTGGTACCAGCTGGACTGGGTTATCACCAGGCGATTGCACTGAACTGTGTTAATGCCACACGGAGCTACCACAGCACTGACTGCGACATGTTCACTCCCTGGTGGTGAGCAAAGAGGACCTGTAGCCAATCTAAGGTTCTGCACTTTGGCAGGAAGAACCAGCTGCACCAATATAACATGAAGGACACCTGGTTTGCTGGTAGGGAAAAGGATCTAGGGATCTTAGTGGACCACAAGCTTAACATGAGTCAACCTGAGAGTGATGCAGCAGCAGCAAAAAATGCTAATGCTATTTTAGGCTGTAACAAGAAAAGTGTCCAGATCAATGGAAGACAATAGCACAATGAAATTCAAAACAGTAACAATTTATTGTGCATTTATTCAAAATCCATTAAAAATATTTATTTTTATTCCATTCTCTTCCAGTTCTTTTTTTTTTCTTGACACGTGGAGTTACACAGGGAGTAGATCATATATCCTAAGGAACGGAAAAACCCAAAATTCTGTGAGATCTTTTGAGGCAAAATAATGTTAACAATTTCCGGATCTCTCTCTGTCCCCTGCCCTGTCCTGTCTTTTGCAAAAACAAAGGTGTCAACCCTGTGCCCAGACAGCAAGACCCTCCCCCCTCAGCCTCCCTGAGGTGGTCCAGAGGAAAGAAGAGCAAGGCATAAGGCACCAGCAGGGCTGCAGGAGTTGCCAGAAGGAGGCCTACAAAATGCCACCCAACCATCTTAGGGACTCCACTCTGCATCTGTGTAGGGTTTACTCTGGAGCCTTTTCGTCCCCTGAAGCCATCCCATGAGGCAGCGCAGGCTTAGAATCAACTTCCCTCTACAGCACATGCACAAACAGCTCCCTCTGGATCTTGTCCGCTCCATCTGCCAGAGCCTGTCTTCTGAGGCAGGAGAAAGTCCCTCACTCACCGAGGGTTTGAGACCCATTGGCTCCCCTCCCCTGGTTCCCCGGCCTCTTCTCCCTCTGACTGCTCCTCCTTGTCCCCCCTCCACTCCCTGGGCTCCCTGAGACGTCTTCCCTTCCTGGTTCCTGCTTCCCCCCACCATTCCTCTGTTTTTTTTTTTTTTAATATAATATTTATTGGTTTTACAAAAATTCCAAAACATACAAAAATACAAAAATTCCAAAGACAAAAAACAACAATAACAGTGACAAAAAGAAAACAAAAGATAACAATAACCATAAAAAAGAAGAAAAAAAAAAAGACAGAAAAATTTAAAAATTTATACTTTCATTTAACCTTCTTATCTTTCCTTAGTTCTTTGACTTCCCCGCACCTCCCCACTTGTATTTCCATTTAGAAACTCCTTTCAGCAAATCCTTACCCTCCTTCCTTTATCTTAACTCAAAAACTTAATCTATTTATAAATAGATATTTTTACAACCTTATCAATCAAATATTCCATGCTCTTAAACGCAAGGCTTTTGCCAATACCAGTTATTTTCAATCAGACCTCAATTTAACATTCATTAATTTTATAGTATTTCTGTAGATAGTCTTTAAATTTCTTCCAATCTTCTTCCACCGACTCTTCTCCCTGGTCCCCCCCACCATTCCTCTGTGCCCAACCAGTCCATGACATCGTTCCACCCCTTGGCCTGTGTCCCCACAAGTCTGCTTCCCCCTACCTGATCTGGTCCCACAGCCACTGCTTCCCTTCTGCTCCCATGAAAAGATGGAGAAGGAGGTCTTGCCGGTATCATTCTGTCACCTGCAAGAGAAAAAAGGTAAGCAGGAATGCTTGCTTCTCTCACAGATGAAACAGGGCATCTCTAACTACAGATGGGCTTTTGAGAAAGTCTTACCTGCTGAGTGCATTTGGATGTTGGCCTCTCTCTGGTGTTCAGTGGAGCCCGAGGTCCGCACTACCTATATATCTTCAATGATGATGTCATCTGGATGGAAGAGAATGAAAATGAAAATGAGATTGTCCCACAGGCCTTTAGTCAAAGGTCACTGTCTCCAGGTGTGGGGCTTACCTTCTTTTGGCTTCAGGCGGAAGCAAGCCAGGTCCGGCCGAACTACTGTCATCTGCAGAGAAAAGAAAAATTGGGGTCGGATGGGAGCAAGAGAGCACAGAAGCAGCGCCAAGTCAGGAAGGATGGGTCTCCCTCTGTCTTGGGCCCAGTCCCTTGTTCCAGAGGACCTCCCTGGGCCCTGCAGCCTCCTGGGCAGAGGTGGAAGGGCAGCAGCAGGAAAGGGGGCAGGAAAAGCCTCTGGCCTCATCCTGGCCCCCAGGGACACACCCCGCACCATCTGCGCTAAAGATCACTTGGGGATGTGATCTTTGGGGGGATGGAAGTAACCAAAGAAATGAATAGAAGAAGGCAAGGTACTTACTCTGAGTTTGGGATATTTCCTGGCAATGGCCAGCAGCAAAGAGATGCTGCTGGCTGCAAGTTCTTGAGCCTCCCCACTTTCCCCCAGGGCGTATCCTCTGAGGTCCTGCAGGAGGAAAGAGCATTTCGGAGTCAGGGGCCAGTCTGGGCCAAAGCGGCCCCCACTGTCCCCACCACAGAGTGGCACTTCTGGCACTTCTGGACCATGAGGGGTTGCCAGCTTTGGTCTTGGACCAAATTGGGGGCCAAACAGGCTCTGTGCCCCAGAAATGGGGCAGTCCATTGGGTAAGGAACGGGGGGGGGGACAACCCTAAAACCACCCCTGATGCCATCGGGACACTTACACTGAGAAGGTGGAGGAGGGTGCCAGGGTTGGGTGCCTCCATAAGAAGACTGCCCAGCAGAAGCCGGTAGTGCCGCTTCAGTTCCTGCGGGAAAAGAGAGAAGAGAGTTTGAATGCTGGGTTGGATTCTGCAAGGGTGTGATGAAGAGGAAGAAAGAGCCTGTGAAGGGAAGTCGAAACAAAGGACATACTTCTCTCTTCTCCTCCTCCTCCTCCTCCTTGGCCCCACACAGCACGGCCTCCAACATCCTGTGCAGGATGGCACTGATCATGTCAGAGGTGAATTAGGGCCTCATCGTGCTGCAGAAATGAAAGGGAGAGGGTTAGAGTCTCCCTTGCCCCTTTCTCCCTCCCGCCTGCTCTTTCCCCCTGGAGTTCTGCCCCCCCCACAACCCCATCCACGCCAAAGACCCCACTCACCTTAGCTGGAGGAGGGCCTCCAAGGCAAGGGCCAGGGTCAGGGGCCGATCCCTGAAGTGCTCCAAGGGCCCCAAGATGTCCTGGAAGAGAACAGAGGAGGAAAATCAGCTCCGACCCCAAACACCAGGCTTGGCTTTGCAGGGGAATGGCAACCCCATGGCCTAAGCCGGCAGGGTCCTCCTCCCCACAGATGAACAGGCCCTCCCCCTCACCTCCCCGTGGGGGTCCCTCACACCCCCCATCACTCACCAGAATTTTTTGGGCCGTCTCCTCCTTGGAGCACTTCAGGGATCGGAGCCCCCTGAGCTCAGCTGCCTGGCAGCTCTCGATGACCCCCAGGATGTAGCGCTGTTCATCCTCCAGCAGCTGAAATGCAAAAGTCAGGCTGTCAGTTCCTCGAGAGGGGAGGACTTCTCCACATCTGAGAGTGCAGAGTGGGGGGCAAAGAGCCCGAGGGACAGCGGGGGGCAGGTCTGAGGGATCCAGTCCCTGCTCTTGTTTTCTCCAATACTTACCCCTGGGGCTGGGATGCTGAACCGCAGTAGAACTGCAAACAGAAGGACATGGGAAGAGGTGAGTCCTCTTTTGTCTTTTGCATCCTTGGACCAGTTGCCCCCCATGCCCATTCCTGCCCTCCTCTGTCCAAAAAAGGAGGGCCATTGGCTTACCTGGCGCCACGGGCTGCTCTTTGTCTGGCTGGGGGGCCACCCTGTGGCAGCGCCTGAACAGGCGCCTTAAGCACCTGATCCTAGAAGAGATGAGCAGAAAGAGTGACTCAGATGCCAGCAGCCACAAGTCTTGGGTGTGAGGAGGGGCGTCTGGAGAAAACAGTGAACCACTGCAGAATTGGCAGAACAGAAATACGTATGTGGAGCCTAATTGATCCTTGCCAGCCCACTCTGACCAATTCTTTCCATCTCTCTGCAGTTCAGTGACCTGAAGGGGCATCATCAGAGCCTGAAAGAGGCAGCCCAAAGCATGAAGGGCTGGCAGAGAGAGAAAGGAGGTCCCAAGTGCTCTGGGTTCAAGAGCTACGGCCATGCCAGGACCCAGAGAGCCTGGCCCCCTCATTCACGAAGTCAAGCAGTGTATAAATTTAATGAAGCAAATGAAATAAATAGGAAGAGGGGAGAGCTTTGGGTCATTCATTAACATTGTTACCAGAATTTTTGGAAAGGTTGACAGGGGGTTTCCCCCTCCAGCAGGCACCATACCCCCCCCGACTGCACCCCAAATCAACACCTTCACTTCTGCAAATTTCCCCGCAAAACACATCCTGACACAGTCCTTTCCTTTTTCTATTCCAACGGCTCCCATAAATAAGGGTAGAACATTTTCCCTAATGAAAGCTGAGCCTTTCACCCGCAAGGCACTCAACCAATCTGCTCAGACTATCCAAATAACTGTCCTATAGCAACCAATGAGCACCACGAAACAGCACCCTCTAGAACAAAGCACTGAGGGCACAAGGAGAAGGGGACGACAGAGGACCAGATGGTTTCACCAAACTGCGGGAGGCAGTGGAAGATAGGTCCATGGGGTCACAAAGAGTCGGACATGACTAAACGACTAAACAACAACAACAACAACAGAACAAAGCACACAGGCACTGCAGCTGCTGACCACGGCCTCTGCTGTACAAGTAGGAATTCGCACTGGGAAAAGGGGAAAGTCAGAACCAGCCATGAAAACCATTCTTGGTCCATTGAAACTAGTCTTTCAAGTTTCAGTCTAGGCTCTTGTACTACCAACCCAGCTGTATGCATGTGAAACGTGGGCCGCTTATAAACACCTTCTCCAACTCCTTGAAAGATTCCATCAATGGTGTCTCCGAAAAATGTGACACACCCTTGGGAAGGCAGGCGAGCTAATACCAGTGTCCTGGAAGAAGCAAAGATCACCCGTGTTGAAGCAATGATTCTTCAACACCAACTTCATTGGACTGGTCATGTGGTTTGGATGCCTGATGATCGTCTTCCAAAGCAACGACACTATTCCAAACTTTAAAATGGAAGGCGTAATGCTGGAGGCCAACAAAAGAGGTTGAAAGACTCTCTCAAGGCCAATCTAAAAACATGTTGTATAAGCACCAATGGTTGGGAAACACTGGCCTGCAAGCGCTCCAATAGGAGAACAGCCTTTACCAAAGGTGTCATGGGCTTTGAAGTCACTTGAACTCAGGACACAAGGGAGAAACGAGCTAAGAGGAAGGCATGCTTGGCAAACCCTCACTGTGATCAACTCCCGCCCAGAAAACTATGTCCCCACTGTGGAAGGACATGTGGATCCAGAATTGGCCTCCAGTCACTTACGGGCTCACAGTTAAAACTCACTGTTCATGGAAGTCAATCTTACTCAGCTATGAGTGATAGAAGGAGAAGGAGAAGAAGGAGAAGATATCTGGTGGTAGCACTCGCCTACTCTTGTAGCAGGAAAACCTCCAAATATTCATATAAAAGCAATCCAACACTGGATTGACACCATTCCAATGCTGTTCTGCTCAGAAGGATGATGGCTACCAGAGGAGGCACTTGGGACATGGCATAGGGCAGCCATCATCCCTAAAGCATGAGACCACGTACACAGCAACCTTTCTGCCGGGGTGATCATCACTGCCCTCCTGGTCTCTGAGTGCCAGACAGGTAGCCATCTCAAGGACCAGAGTGGATCCAACCTACATGGATTGGGGACTTGGCCAGGACAATTGGGGGTACTCAACTTGGCTGGGAAACAGGACCATGTATATATTTTACTTTATTTTACTTAATGGGTGTAAGGTGGAGGTCAAGGGAGGGACAGGGACAAACCTGATACTCAGGTGTCCGCCAGAAAAACCTCCCAGTTTGTGACACACCCCCCCCCGGAGATGAAGAGAAAGGGATGCTACTTACAGTCTGCTCATGTCATCCACAAAAACCCTAACTATTCCTCTATCTAAAAAATAAAAATATATACAGAATATGCACAGGTGTGCACAAAAAACAAAAAACAAACAAATTAAAACGAACAAAAAATAAAATAAAATAAATAAAAGTGTTAAAATAAAAGAATAAAAGAAAATCAAAATAAATTAAATCAAATAAATCAAATAAAAGTAATAAATGAAATCAAAATCAAAATAAGAAAATGAAAAAGAACAAATCACTAATCCTCCTCTTACTCGCCACCAACTGCCACCACCCCCTCTCTCCTCTAAGCTCTCCTCACTAACCCACAATGGCCGCCTGCAAGTCAGTGGCTTTTAAAGGAGAAGCAAGAGATGTCACAAAGGAGGGCGGGTCCTTGTCACCATGGCAATCCCCCCACCAGGACCTGGCCCCACCTGGCCCTTCCTGAGTGGTGATGCTCCTCTGTCAGAACTCGGAGGCACCTGCTGTTCTGCCTGCAGAATGCTCTAATCCCAAACTCTCTAGCCCTACGACTGGCTCTGCCACGATAAATCCATTTGTTTCTAAGGTGCTTGGTGGCTCTCTTTTTCTACGTTTGCTGCAGGGGGCTTAATAATATCACTACCCTTCTGCACTCTGAGAATTATGCAGGGGCATGGATTTGCAAGCATTTGTAACTTCTGCCACATAATTTTCAGGTGGAACTCAAATCGGGAGAGAAAAGGATAAATGCAGCCTGCTCTTTCCATGTGGGTGGCACATTTCGTGGTGCATGCAAGTTTAATGGTGGGCCATAACATTAAAGGCAGGCGCGTTGGGAACCTGTCCGGCCTAAGTGGGGAAAGGAACCATCAAATTTGCTCATAAAACCTCTCTGGCATGGGAGCACATGAATTCCAGAGCCATGGGCACATGAATGCTTCACAGTCTGTTGTTTTTCTGCGGAATTCACATTTGGAAATATGCCCAGTCGCAAAGAGCACATACCTGCTTCTTTCCAAAGGAGTGTTAAAATCAATTAACAAGTCCTCAAAGAGGCAGGCCTGTTCCAGTCCCCACCTCAGATAGTCTCAAAGGGCGAGGAAGCCAGTGCAAATTTATCAGCAATTTCAGCAGAAGTTGAGTCTCAAGAGTGCAGCGGCTAACTTTTGGCTGACAAAAATTCTGGCACCTTGGCTGAGTGTCCTGGAGCATGCACAGAAATCCTTAACCTCCAAGGGGGAAATGTAGCATTTCAAAGACTGCAGGGCAAATGTGCTTCTGAGCATATGCAGAATGCTTTTCCTCTGGTGAGGTGTGGGGAACCTTTGGCCACCCCAGCTCTTGCTAGACTGCAAGTAGACTCCTGTCAACTCCAGCAAGCAGGAGTTCAGCAATATCTGGAGGGCCAGAGGTTCCCCACACCTGAGCTAGAGACTGTCCAGGTATCTGTGGATTCTGGAGTCCCAGAATTCTCCTTAGGTATTTCCCCCCCCCTTCATGGATCACTGCCTTGCCGTGGCGAAGGGGCTTGAATAACTCAGAGAAGCTATGAGCTATGCCATGCAGGGCCACCCAAGATGGACAGGTCATAGTGGAGAGTTTTGACCAAACGTGATCCACCTGGAGCAGGAACCGGCAAGCCACTCCAGTATCCCTGCCAAGAAAACTCCATGGACAAAGACAACAGGCATATAAAAGTTATGATGCTGGAAGATGAGCCCCTCAGGTCAGAAGGCGTCCAACATGCTACTGAGGAAGAGCGGAGGACAAGTACAAGTAGATTCAGAGCTGATGAAGCGGCTGGGCCAAAGCCGAAAGGATGCTCAGTTGCGGATATGCCTGGAAGCAAAAGGAAAGTCCAATGCTGTAAAGAAAAATATTGCATAGGAACCTGAAATGTAAGAACCATGAACCTTGGTAAGTTGGATGTGGTCAAAAATGAACATTTTAGTGAACTAAAATGGACGGGAATGGGCGAATTCAGTTTGGATGACCATCACCTCTACTACTGTGGGCAAGAAACCCGTAAAAGAAATGGAGTGGCCCTCATAGTCAACAAAAGAGTGGCGAAAGCTGTACTGGGATGTAATCTCAAAAATAATAGCATGATCTTGATACGAATCCAAGGCAGACCTTTTAACATCACAGTAATCCAAGTTTATGCACCAACCACTGGTGCTGAAGAAATTGAAATTGACCAATTCTATGAAGACTTACAACACCTTATAGAAATGACACCAAAGAAGGATGTTCTTCTCATTATAGGGGATTGGAATGCTAAAGTAGAGAGTCAAGAGATAAAAGGAACAACTGGCAAGTTTGGCCTTGGAGTTCAAAATGAAGCAGGGCAAAGGCTAATAGAGTTCTGCCAAGAGAACAAGCTGGTCATCACAAACACTCTTTTCCAACAACACAAGAGACGACTCTACACATGGACATCACCAGATGGGCAGCATCGAAATCAGATTGATTATATTCTCTGCAGCCAAAGATGGAGAAGCTCTATACAGTCAGCAAAAACAAGACCTGGAGCTGACTGTGGCTCAGATCATCAGCTTCTTATAGCAAAATTCAAGCTTAAACTGAAGAAAGTAGGAAAAACCACTGGGCCGGTAAGATACAATCTAAGTCAAATCCCTTATGAATACACAGTGGAAGTGAGGAACAGGTTTAAGGATTTAGATTTGGTGGACAGAGTGCCTGAAGAACTATGGATGGAGGCTCGTAACATTATACAAGAGGCAGCAACTAAAACC